ATATATATATATATATATATATATATATATATATATATATATCCAATTATAGGATTTTAAACTACCTAGTTTAAAATCCTATAATTGGAGTGGTTTCAATAGCTTTATGAGTAAAAACAAAGCATAGTAAAAAATTTATTATTCTAACAATACTATCTATTTGTAATTAGAATTTAAAAAAATTTTAATTTTATTGTTTAAAGGTTTGAGTGGATTATTTTTGAAAATATTCGATTTTTTGCTAAAGGTGCTCATAATACCCTCATCTACTCTATATATTATATACAGCCCTCAGAATTTCGGTCAGCATTTGGCAATACCTAACTGCCAACCTAAAAGTGTTTGAGGTCGGCCAAAAATTACCAACCTCGTTTCTATCTTTTATGGTAAGACCTTTGTATCAATTTTTTTTGCCAACCTTATGCCAACCTCTAAAATATTGAGGTCAACAAATTATTGCTGACCTCATTTTTTTTAATTCTTAGGGTTGATTAAATGTATAGACAAAGTCTATGTTTGTATTATGTAATATATAAACAATGTATAATAATGTCTGCATCATAACTTTTGTATGCTTGATTGATTCTTTTCAAATAATGAATTCTTTCTGTTATATTCATTCCTTGTTTTTATCTGAAGTATTTATCCGTTATATTATGTGTTGTGTTATTTAGTTCTAATGCTCTTTATGTCCAAAATGTAAAAGACTTTAGTTTTAATTTTAACATTGTGGAATTTAAAAATTTATATGCATGTCAATTAGACATGCTTATAATTTTCTAATATGTCTAATAGACATGCATATTATATGTTTGTTTAACATGCATATAATATGCATTTCACATGTAAATATACAATAATACAATAATGCTCGGTAGGTTATTATAAAAATATATTTTTACTTTGTTAAAAAAAATGCAAACAAACAGGCAACAACTATTTTGCTTCGATTTTTTTAGGTTAATTTATATAAATAATATTTACTTGAATAATGTTTCGATTTTTTCGTGGTTATTCTATATAAATAATATTTACTTGAATAATGTATTATCTTAAATTTTTAGATTCTGAAATTTTAAAATTAAAACTTAAGTCTTTTACATATGGAAGATGAAGAACCTTAAAACCAAATAGTGCAGCATGGATAAATATTATGCATGAAACTAACATGAACATAACAACAATGAATATAACAGCAAGAGTTCAACATACTTGTCATAGTCTTGCAGAAGTGTTCTCCGGAACTGTCATCTATACTTTCAAAACTATTTAACAAGTGCTTCTAGGAGTTTTGTTTTCCGGCATGCTGGAAAACAGTATCTGTTATCCCTATTTTGAAAAATTCTGGAGAGCGATCTGATTTGTCTAACTATCATCCCATTAGTCTTCTTCCTATTATAAGCAAGGTTTTTGAATATTTAATTAACAAACACTTAATCTCTCATCTTGAATCTAATAACTTACTTTCTGATCATCAATATGGATTTTGATCTTCTCTTTCTACAGCTGATTTGCTAACAGTAATAACCGATAGGTTTTATTGTGCACTAAATAAAGATGGAGAGGTTAAGACCATCGTTCTTGACATTTCTAAAGCTTTTATTAAAGTTTGGCATGCTAGTCTTCTCCATAAGCTTTCTTCTTATGGTGTATTTAGTAACATCTTTAAGATTATTGAATCCTTCCTTTCTAATTGTAGTATAAAAGTTGTCCTCAATAGATAGCACTTTTCTTCATTTTCTGTAACTTCAGGAGTTCCTCAAGGTTTAATCCTTGGCCCTATACTTCTTATTTTTCAAGATATTCTCACATCTAAGGTGGCATTATTTGTTGATGATACTACCATTAATTCTGTCTTCATAAGAAGCTAACACTCTCTGATTGCTTGAAGGGGCCATTTGAGCTTGAAAAGGATCTCACTTCTGCTACAACATGAGGCTCACAGTGACTGGTGAATTTTAATTCAGATAAAACTCAATTTTTTTAGCCAATTGTTATTGCAATAAATTAGATCTTTCTATATTTATGAACTGTAAAGTACTCGATAAGTCATCTACCTTTCATCTTCTAGGAATAACTCTTACTTGCGATCTTTCTTGAAAACCTTATATTAAATCCATCGCAAAATTAGCATCTGCTAAGGTTGAATCTCTTTATCGAGCTCGACACTTTCCTATTCCAGATTCTATTCTTTTTCTTTATAAATCTCAAATCCGGCTTTGTATGGAATACTGTAGCCATATATGGATGCCCTTTCTCTTTTAGAAATGGTGCAAAAATGCATTATAAACATAGTTGGACCTGCTCTTTCAGCCAACCTTCAACTATTATCACCTTGTCGTAATGTTGATTCCCTTTCGCTTTTCTACAAATACTATAATGGGCACTGCTCTAAAGAGCTAGTCTCTTGTGCCTTCTACTAAAATTCATTCTTGTGTTACTCGTCATTCTACACAGATTGATTTGATACATATATACATATATATATATATATATATATATATATATATATATATATATATATATATATATATATATATATATATATATATATATATATATATATATATATATACACTGTGTCAAAAAAGTTTTCATCCACCTATCCTGTACATCTTTCAGACGTGATAACTTTACATTCAGCAAAGATATAAGCATAATTTCAACTTAATTATATCAGTTAACCATTCAAGAAGTATTGTTTAAAAAGATTTTACAAAATAATGAATAGAAATTAAAATACAACATTTAAACATAAACAATGCCTGTTTTTGCGCTAAAAAAGTTTTCATCCACCCTGCACTCCAACCTCAATTTGTTATTAAATCAGTATTAAAGTATCATTTTTAAAATATAAATTAGATTTAGTAAGATTTTTGTATTTATTTTTTTTTATATGAGTTTTTTATATTTTTTATTTTTGTTAGATTATTAATAAAAATGAGAGTTGCAGAGGAAATTAGATTGCTTATTGTTAGACTATGGAAAGAGGGAAAATCACAGCGAAATATAGGAAAAATAGTAAAGAAATCACGTGCAACTGTGCAGTCTATTATTAAGAAATACCAAACCACCAAAAAAATTGCTGATAAGCCACGTACAGGGCGTCCAAATAAAATTCAAGTATTGCATCGACGAGCTATATTAAGAACAGTCATCCAGAATTCTAAAATAAGTGCTCCAAAACTCGCTGGAATGCTGCAAAAAGATTACAATTTAAAAGTGAACCCTGAAACTGTTAGAATAACCTTAAGAAGAGCTGGATACAATGGTAGAGTACCATTGAAAAAGCCCTATATCAGCAAAGTCAACAAAGCCAAACGACTACACTTTGCAAAACTTTATATCAATGAACCACAAACATTCTGGGAATCGGTCCTTTTCAGCGATGAATCAAAATTTAATGTGTTTTCATCAGATGGAAGAGTTAAAGTTTGGAGAAAACCAAATGAAGCATTTAAAAAACAAAACTTGTGTCCAACGGTGAAGCATGGCGGAGGAAGTGTTTTAGTGTGGGGGTGTATGAGTGCTTCAGGTGTAGGAAACTTGGTTTTCATTGATGGAAATATGGATCAAAATGTGTATTTAAACATTTTAAAAAATAATCTGGAAGAAAGTGCCCACAACTTGGGACTTACTAGGTCATTTACTTTTCAGCAAGATAACGATCCAAAACATACTGCCAAACGTGTCAAGGAATGGCTTATATTTAAAATAGCTAAGCAACTTCATACACCCCCACAATCTCCAGATTTGAATCCTATTGAACATCTGTGGGATGAATTGGGTAGAAGAATTAGGACCCACGATGTGAGGAATCAACAACAACTCCAATTAGTAATTATGAAAGAGTGGGGCTTAATCACTCCAGAAATTACTAAAAAATTAGTTTGTTCAATGAAAAACAGACTACACGAAATCATAAAAGCTCGTGGTGGAAACACAAGTTATTAAAACACTAGTAAATTGAGTTCGTATGACAATTTTATTTGATTTTTGTAAAGTGGATGAAAACTTTTTTGAGACAAAGATGTCTATCTTTTATTCCAAAATGCTGTATTTTATTTGTAACTCATTACTTTAAAAAACTTTTTTTGTACAATATTTCTTAAATGTTTAAATGATATAATTTAGTTTATATCATGCTTGCATCTTTGCTGAATAAAAAGTTATTGCATTTTTAAAATGTGCAAGATAAGTGGATGAAAACTTTTTTGACACAGTGTGTATATATATATATATATATATATATATATATATATATATATATATATATATATATATATATATATATATATATATATATATATATATATATATATATATATATATATACACATATATATATCTGTGACTATCCCTAAATGCTCCAAAAACTCTTATTCCTCTAGTTTTTCCTAAAACATCAATTCTTTGGAATTCTTACTTTCCTGATTTATATAATTTACAATATTTTAAGTCATCTGTCAATGGTTATCTTGCTCTACAATCTTTATCTTTTCTTTTCCAAAAACTTCCAACTCTAATAGTGCTTGCAGCATTGTTGGAAGCGAAGATGCTAAAAAAAAGAATTTGTAATAAATTAATTAATACAAAAGTTATGATGCAAACAAGAAAATATAACGGAAATATAATGGATAGCTTTTATTTATTTCAAAGTTATCCGTTATACTGCAAGTTATCCGCTATATTTTTTTACCTTAGGGCGTTATGAAAAATGGCTATTGGTATAAGCTTTTTTAGAATGTATTAATTAATCAATGTATCAAATGCATGTATTAATTAATCAATTAATCAAATGTATCAAATAAATGAATGAATGTATTAATTAATCAATTAATCAAATGTATCAGATAAGCTATTTTAAATTAATAGCGCAACTATTAATTACAAAATTTAAAAGTACACAAATGAATGATTAACCTTATTTCCCCTTGTTTACTATTTTTATGTTTGTGAAACCATCTTTATCTAATTTTTGTTTATTTATTTGTTTTTAGTGCCTTTTTTTACTGTTAACAGCGAACTTGTTTTACATCAAGGCAATTATTTAACCACAATAAAAAAACTACCGAAAGAGTATGAAATAACATTTGAAGCATATTTTACTTCATATTTAACAAATGCCTGGTCAGATGTAATAGCTTTCTATGATAATGGCGAACGAGTTTTTGTGATTACCATTTATAATACTATTCTTTATGCTTGCGCATCTGTTAATGGTAAGGTTGGCTACTACATTGATGTAAAAACATACAACTTAAATGAATGGATAAAATTTTCTGTAAAACAAAGTTTCATAAATGGTAATTACAATCATGTTGTTCAAATTGCTGGAATTATAGTTGATGAGCTTCAAAATACTGCTGCAAAAGTCTTTCAAAATGTTGATGTTTATGCTCCTGCTTACAATGCACAACCAGGATTTTTAAAAAATTTAGTTGTAATAAATGCATGTCCAAGTAAGTTTTTATTAAAACATTTTAAAACAAGCTATTCAGAAACAATTTATAAGTTTTATTGGTATTGTTTATTTAATTAACCACCATAATAAAATAACTTGCACAGTTAGTCAAAATCCAAAAATCCTAAAAAAAAAACCTAATGAAATATTTGCAAATAACCTTTAAAATGAATTATAATTAATACCACAGTAGACAATAATTAACTGTTCTTTGCTTAAAGTTCAAAGACTCACTATCTTTTAGACAATTTCTTGAGACTTTTTGTTTTTTTGTTATTTTTTATTCCAACTTTTTGTTTTTTTTTATTCCATTTTTTATTCCAACTTTTTGTTTTTTTTTATTCCAAAACTTGCGTACAAAAAGCTAATAGTAATATAGACGCTACAGCATCTATATTACTATTACTATTATTACTGTAATTTAATTGAGACACTTCTACATGAGTTCTGTAGGCTGGAGTGTCTATAACAAGTATTGATGAACATAAAATTATATGCCATAGAAAGCTCTATCAACATTTATATTCCAACTCCTTCCCAAGACTTCTAAAACATAAGTGAGCTTGGTTTTACTAAGATATATTAGTTGACTGAAATGCCATTGCAGCAGGTCCAGATTGAAAAACCTTGAACTGGAAAGATTTAAGTAATAGAAGCAGAGGATCTATGGTAATTATAAATCAATTGAATTCAAACTAATTCAAAAAAAGTTTGTACTCATAAGCTTAAAATATTATTTGTTTAAGGATGTCAAAATGAATGAGCATAATGCTGAAGCACTGGCAATAGCTTTAATAATATAATTTCCAAACAAAAAGGTTTTGTTGTACTCATTAAACATTTTACAAATCCTAATAAAGTTTAGAGGATGGAGGTAGTTTTTCGATAAAAATAAAAACCGAAGATGCTTCGAGGATAGTAATTAAGTGTGATTTTTCTGATGAACAGTGTCAAACTATTAGAAATTCATCCACATTACAGAATGCAAATATTTATTCTTTACTTTTTTTTTTTTTTTTTTTTTTTAACATCTTCACTTCCAACAAGGCTGCAAGCAACCACTATAAGAGTTGGAAGTTACTGGAAGAGAAAAGACTAAATCTGTAGAGCAAGATAACGATTGACTGATGACTTAAAAGATTGCAAATTATATGAATCAGGAAAGCAAGATGAAGGAAGCGAATTCCAAAGAACTGATGTTCGAGGAAAAAAACTAGAAGAATAAGAGTTTTTGAAGCACTTAGGAACAGTCACAGAAAAAGGATGAGACTTAATTGAATGGCGAGTAACACGAGAATGAATTTTAGTAGATGGCACAAGGGACGCTAGCTCTTTAGAGCAGTGCCCATTATAGTATTTGTAGAAAAGAGAAAGAGAAGCAACATTACGACGATGTGACAAAGGTTGGAGATTGGCTGCCAGAGCAGGTCCAACTATGTTTACAATTCGTTTTTGCACCTTGTCTAAAAGAGAAAGAGCATCATTAGAAGATCCGCCCCAGATGTGGCAACAGTATTCCATACAGGGACGGATTTGAGATTTATAGAGATAGAGAATAGAATCTGGAGTAAGAAAGTGTCGAGCTCGATAAAGAGATGCAACCTTAGCAGATGCTAATTTTGCAATGGATTTGATATACGGTTTAAAAGAAAGATCAGAAGTAAGAGTTAATCCTAGAAGATGAATGGTAGATGACTCATCTAGTACATTACCATTCATAAATATAGGAAGATCTAAATTATTACGATAACAATTGGCCAAATAAAATTGAGTTTTATCTGAATTAAAGTTCACCAGCCACTGTGAGCCCCATGCTGTAGCAGAAGTGAGATCCTTTTCAAGCTCAGATACCCCCTCCAAGCAATCAGAGAGTGTAGGCTTCTTATCATGACAAGAGTAAATGGTAGTGTCGATTCACTTCATGAATTTAAGAATGAGACTGTAATGTGTATTTTTTAATTTGTCTATAGAATAGTTAGATAATTAATTTATATCCGGATTACAAAATGAGTATTCCAACTTTAAAATATATAAAATAAATTAATTAAATATAAGTATTCCACTTTAAAATACTCTAATAAATTTTGAAATTTTAAATTCATGCCAAAAAGTGTATTTTGATAGGTAAATAGTAAAATTGTGCTAAGTTTCTATATTAGATAACTAATTTTTATATCTATACTTTATTTATATCTATATTAGATAGCGAAGTCCTAAAGGAAAATTAAAACAAATGTTTTAATTTTTCTTTAGGAATAAATTTTTAGTTCCAAACATTTAAAAGCTTTACTGAGTTTTTAAGTGTTAACAGAATGTGACATACTGGCCGCTGCTATGGAAAATTCAAATTAACATGGTAGAAGTCATTCATGGTTGCAGATGATGAGGTTCTGTATGCATTATCAATCTTAGGCAATGCTGAGTCATTGCCAAATCAGGTTACTTTTCAAGGCATTGAGCTTTTTGTAGTGAACACATATAGATTTAAAAATATTCCCAATAAAATATCAACTATGGCTATGCTAAGTTGTTTTCTCTTCTCAAAGCATCATCAAGATGCTGCACTGTTACTACCTACTATGAGTGTTCTAAAATACAAAATATTTAGAACTCATTTTGTATGTCCAATGTTAAGAAGATCTCCCAAACCATTACAAAAGTAAAGTTTCCATCTCCTGAAGGCTTTGCCTGGGAGATCAACGGTGAATCCCTTGATCCAATATTACCAGCTTGTCTTTCTGCTTCATTGGGTTTAATTTATTTGAGTGTTTGTTAATGTAGTGGTGATTGCAGTACAAAGAGATGCAAGTGTTATAATAACAACTTTATATGGGTATGTGTAAATGCACAAGGTGTGTGAACACCAACATTCGCAATTGCAGTGACGAGGTAAAAAATGAATTCTTGCCAGTCAAGGTTGACCAGTTGAAAAAAAAAACAGAGATTTAAAAGGTTTGACAAATAAGGGATGTTATTTGGAAAATGCATTTACTAAAATTTTATAAAATTATTTAAATTTTGAAAAAGCGTTTAAAATAGTTCTCTAGTTTATAACACGCTACTTTAAATGCTAGGGGGTTGTTAGAGAGAAAAGTTTGAAAGCGGAAAGAAGTTAAAGCAAATTTTTTCTTTAACCCTTTTATTTTTCAATACTGCCTGGTTTAAAAACATTTGAATAAATTTATTTTTTTAACAATATAATTCAATAATTAAAATTTAAAAACTTATTAATAATTTATATCAATATAGTTCAATAGTTAAAAATTAATAATTTATAAATAAATTTATGTTATTAATTCTGCTACTCATAATATATTCGAGTATATACTAAATTTATCGTTGTTAAAACTTTTATCTAATAATTATTGTATATTAATAGAAACCAGTAATTTGTATATTATTTTATATTAATTGTATAATTATTGTATATTAATAGAAATCAGTAATAATAAAAAACCAGCTAAATGTAACTTACAGTATGATTACAACCCTCGGAATTAGGAAAAATGAGGTCGGCAATAATTTGCTAACCTAAATCTTTTAAAGGTCGGCAAAAAAAATTTGATACAAAAGTCTTACCATATAACACAGAAATGAGGTCGGCAATTTTTTGCCAACCTCAAACACTTTAGCAGTTAGGTCGACATTGGCAGTTAGGTTGACATTGCCAAATGTTGACTTTAATTCCGAGGGTTGTGATTATGTATGTTAAATTAGAAATTATGTATGTTAAAGTCAAAAATTGTACAATCATGGTTGTCACACATAATCAAATTTAGCTTCGAGTTTGTCACATCCCAATGACATCATATATATATATATATATATATATATATATATATATATATATATATATATATATATATATATATATAATATATATACATATATATATATATATATATATATATATATATATATATATATATATATATATATATAACATATATATATATATATATATATATATATATATATACATATATATATATATACATATATATATATATATATATATATATATATATATATATATATATATATATATACATATATATATATATATATATATATATATACATATATATATATATATATATACATATATATATATATATATATATATGTATACATATATATATATATATATATATATATATATATATATATATATATATATATATATATATATATATATATATATTATATATATATATATTCATATATATGTATACATATATATATATATATATATATATATATATATATATATATATATATATATATATATATATATATATATATATATATATATGTATACATATATATATATATATATATATATATATATATATATATATATATATATATATATATATATATATATATATATATATATATATATATATGTATATATATATATATATATATATTGGAGGATGGGTTTTAAATAATTATTAATTTAACCCAGACAAAAATTTGGATCTTTTTCTTAAGTCTTTTGAAGGAATCCCCAAGTTTTTTTTTTATCCACACAGGTTTTCTTTCCCTTTTTTAAAAAGAAGTCCTAACTGGCATGGAGTTGTCAATATTTTAACAGTTAATTTAAGAAAATCCAAATGGATAAAAATAATAAATTTTTGTCTGGGCAAAAAATAAATAAGAAAATAATATTCCTCTTCCCCTCTCAAATATTTTTTCTTTCAAAAAAAAAATCATTTTACAGTAAGATTTTGAAAAACTCGAATTCGTCTTTAAAAGTTACTTTTAGATTCTATTCTTTATCTCTCTAAACCTAAAATTCGCTCTTGTATAGAATACTGTTGCCATATTTGAAGCAGATCTTTGAATGACACCTTTTCTATTTTAGACAATGTGTAACAACGCATTGTAAACATCGTTAGACCTGTTCATGCAGCCAACTTTCAACCATTCCCACATTGACATGTTGCATCTCTTTCTCTTTTCTATAAATACTATAATGGGCGCTACTAAAATTCATTCTCATTTTACTTGTTATTCAATTAGGTCTCATCTTTTTATTGTGACTATTCCTAAGTGCTCCATAAGTTTTTAGTCTAGTTTTTCTCTTCAAACATCAGTTCTTTGAAATTTGCTACCTTTATCTTTCTTTCTTGGTTCATATAGTTTGAAATCTTCAAAGTTGTCTGTTAATCTTTATCTTGCTTCTTAAACTTCATCTATTCGAGCTTTTATTTCTAAGGCTTACTTGCTTTTTTAAAAGTGAATATGTTTGTTGTTGTTGTTTTTTTTTTAAAAAAACATTGATTTGAGCATTAATTGAAATGTTAAAACTCGGACTGTTCTGCAATACGAGTTCAAATCCAGTCAATGCTAACTCAGTGATTGTATCATACTTTAATACTCAAAATATTTAGTTAATAATGGACACTATTTAGAAATCAGTCTTTATCACTACTTGTTCCCCTTCCTATGAAAACCAATAATCTAATCGGATATTAGAACATTCTATTAAAATTAAAATAAATAAATAAAAATTATGAAAAATATTTTTACTTTGTATGTTTTCTTTTATGTAAATCCAAAATACTCCAACTTGTTTATTAATTTTTCTCTCGGACAAAAAAAATTTTAAATTTGTAAATGAAAAATACTGTTATAACATTTTAGCACATTGCCAACATTTAGAGGATTCAATATATTAAATAAACTTAATGTTGCAAAGGAAAATGTATACAATTGCAATATAATAACAAAAAATAAAAAGAACTAAAATTTTTTAATATAGTCTATTTCAAGACATTTAAGGTTTTTGTACTAATATTTATAATACATATATAATACATTGTAAATTCTTAGTCGAAAAAAAAATATATTGTTAGGTGAATTTAAACCAAACCATTTTTGCAAACCATTTTTTGCGATAAATTTAAAATAAAAAAAGTAACTGTATCTCAAGTTCATCATATAAGTCTGAATTTCAGAAAAATACATCATATAAAGTCGTCATAAAAAAAAGTTTTCAAAGCAAGCAAAAATACCTTTTAAAATACAAAATTTCTGCTTAGAAAATAGGTGCAGTAAGTTATCTATATTGGTTTTTTTTGTTTGTACATCTTTTATCTTATTTTCTTACATCTTACATGTTATAACAGCCATATTGCTCAAAATATCTATAAATAGATATAACATATTTGCTTGCTTGACTTTGACTTACGAACAATCAATATTTAACATTAATTTAATTTTTAAAATTAATATATATATATATATATATATATATATATATATATATATATATATATATATATATATATATATATATATATATATATATATATATATATATATATATATATATATATATATATATATATATATATATATATATATACTCACAACTAATTAAGTCTAATAAATTTAATTCGAAAAATCAAAATACATTTTTTATTGATCAAATTTTTTTTTTAAGTTTGTGATTTAATACCAATGCTGTCCAACAATAGCTATGAGTAAGTAGAATTTGATATTCTTATTTATAGAAGATTTATAGAAGTGAAGCATATTTGAAATACCTGTTTCTTTTTAGGAAATAGCAATAAAATAATAATCTAGAAGTTTAAAAGAAAACAATCATATGCTATTAGAAATATATTATTCTTTATGATAAAAATAATAAATTATGTATCAAAAACACAAGTAAATTTTAAAATTGTTAAACAAATAGTAAAAGTTGATATTATACACAAAGTGCAAGTAATTTGTAATAGGGTATTTCAAATTACTTTCATCTTTTAAAATCTTTTAAAATCTTTGAAGCTGTATAAATAATTTGTAATATTCACAGATATACGACTAAGTATTGCATTAGGCTAAATCTCACATAACAAGCACTGAGCCTTTGTTCTCACTAAATTACTCATTACAAAAGAAACATGTTGTATCTTTTTTAGTTGTACTAATGTACATGCATCGTTTTTATAAGAAACTTCAGAATAATTTAAGGCATTAACAATTTTTTTTTCACCAACAACAGTAGATTTAGAAGATTCACTTCTATTTTTTTTTTTTTTTTTTTTTTTTCTGTTTTTTTTTTTTTTGAATTTTTTTTTTATGATTACTTTTTTTTTTCCTTTCTTCTTTGTTTTGCTCCGAAAGAAGGTAATATTTATGATAAAAACCAACCTTTTTGTTCTCTATTTGAAGACCAGGTACTTTTTTGGGGGCAATATCAAAGGTGTGACCTTAAGTTATTAAAGAAGATGGATCTGCTTAAGGTTCATAATTCTTATTAATAATATTTGTTAATTTTATTTCATAAAAGTTTTAAACCAGTAACATCTAGCAAACCTTTCTTTAAAGCAATGGTGCAACTCTTTTTTTTACAGTCAACTAGTAAGCTAATAAGGTTAAAGCATAAAAACAGTTCTTTATCGCCTATGAATAAGAAATAAATAACAAAAGTAAGGTTTTCAAACAATTTTTTAACTTACTTTCTTGTTAATTGAAGAACTCTTATTATTGGCAAATCTGTATATACTGTCCTGGAAACATTATACAATTATTTGCTATAAAAAGCCATTGTTTTTTCTTTCGAAATATCAATATTGTTGTTGACTGTTGCACTTTTCAAAAAAAAAAACTAAAACCATTTGGAGTATTTCAAATTATATTTGCTAACTATATTTGAAATTAGCAACCTTAAATTCCTTTGAAACATTTCGCTTACTTCTCTCATTTTTAATTTTAGTGTCAACGTATTTATATTAACTAGCAAAAAGCAACCCGTAATACGGGTTTTGGTCAGTCTGTTACATAATTAATTTATAGTGGCTGTTTTCCACAATATAATGTTGCAAAACCTTAACTAATACACTTTTAGAAAATCGCCTTCAGCTTGAAAAAATTAATCCATCTGTAAAATTAACATAAAAAGTATGAGGAGGTAAAATAATTTACCAACTACTACTTAACATTTACAATTACTACTTAACATTATTTAAGTAATTTACAAATGGCATAGGTCATAACAGTGAAAGGCAGAATCATTTTCATCGACCTTCCTAAGTTTAACACAATGCGTTTTTAGTTACTGACACAAAATAATAAAACTTGGTCATGCTTTCAATTGACGAAAGTATCAACTAAATCCTTGTAATAATTTTTATAGCACGAACCATTAAGATTAAAATAAAGTTAAAAAGAATAAATTGTATTATCCAGGAGTTATCAATTTTTTGGTATCCCCTTGATTAATTTTTTTTTAGAAAAGAAAATTGTTAACTTAAAAATGTTAAATACACACGTTTAAATAAATTTATTAAAAATAGCAAAGTTTATTATAAATAACTAAGCAACTGAGTACAAATACGTTTCAAAAAAAAAAAATTTAATTTACGATCAAACATGGGTATAATAAATTTGAAAAAATATGTAAACTTAATGCATTAATGCAACATATGACAAACCTAAAATAAAAATTATAACAGATAAGTAGACATAAAAATTTGTAAACCAAGCTGACCCGACCCGGGTCTTGTTAAGTCTGTTCAACACAGACCATTTCTATATTATTTGTTTGGCCTCTTTATTTCATTAATTTTTAGTAAACAGTAATTTGCCACCATTTACTAAAAATTCCTTTTGTAACTCTAAATTTAATTTTCCTAAATATTTTGAATAAAGAGGTTCCTTCCCTCTTTTTGCTTTAATGGTGGCCAGGTGAATAAAATAAAATAATAAAATGTAAAACAATGATCTTCATATATAAGAATGTTTTCTTTCTTTCCTCAAAAGTGTTGCAAATACAGACTAAGCTAACTAATTAGTTAAACACATAAATAAAACTTAAGTAACTCGATATTAATGCGCAAAACTACAATTACGGGGGGTCCAAAATTCTATATTTCTTGTTTAACCAGTTATTCTTAAATAACTTTTTGAGAAAAGTTTAAAAAACAATTCAGTTTTTGCTAATTTTTTATGGTTAACCTTCTACTTCTGTTTTAAAAATTTTAAGATATAAAAAATAAAAATCTTTGCAAAAGTTTCTTTGCGTGTAAAGTTATGCAACTTTTCTTTCAAATTTATGCTATTCATATTTTGATTGGATAAATTTGATTGTGTTTTAGAAAAAAAAATTTATCTGAAATCTTTTTCTAAAAAAAAAAATTTAAATAAGTAAAACGACAGATTGCTTCAAAAAAAAAAAGTTTTAGCTGAAGTCTCTTTCTAAACAAAACGTTTTAAGTAATCAAAAAGATAGATTGCTTCAAAATATATTAATTTCCTTTTTTTTTTTATTTATTTTTAATCGTTATTCAAGCTATCAAGAAGGCTATTCAAGGTTTCATTTTTTTTTTTCACTTTTCTTTAATGAAGTCAAGAATAAATCTTCTTTTAAAGTGTCAGTCAGTAGAAGTTCAGTTAGATTCTAAAGTTTTAACAATTCTAAAGATAAACAGGCTAAAGGAACACCGCTACCTAAAAGGCTTTATAAAAAACAAACTGGGTGATCAAATTTTGAAATTTTCTGCTTTACTCTAAAACGCAGTGAATAGCTAGTTAAAAAAATTTTAGAAGCAGTTAATAAGTATATCTCAAAGAGGTTGAATGATTGTATCATTCTTGCTAGAGTATTTTGGCAAAAGTTAGCCTCAGGACTTCAAAAAAAGGAAAAGTATTATTTGTTTGGTTGATGATGGAATATGATTAGTATTAACTTTCTAGTTAAGTTGTTGCAGTTGGAAAACTTTGGAAAAAACCCATTTAATTTCAACAGTAGATGTATACTTGATTATTTAAACCATATAAAAAATGAAGCTTATCGCAGTTTAAAAATATTTTGGCGAATTATTGTCCAGTTATTTGTCCAAAAAGTTGAAACTATGGAATAGTTTCAACTTTTTGGATTGTCGCGGAGGTCTATTCTGTTTAAATACATGATTGTTTATATAAAAATACAAACCTCCATCCTATGTCTACCAAAGAACACACATATAACCTAGATGTTATATAAAGAAAGTTCACGCAGCAATCTCTATCACATATGACTTTTATAGTTATTTTCAATTTTCAATAGTAAATAACAAACTCTATGAATTATTTTCATATATAATGTATAATTTTTTTTGTTACTTATAAATGATAAGGTATATTATTGATAAATTAAACAGAAAAAGGTTTGTACTTTTCTACTTTTTTTATATTTAATGATAATAATAATTTCATCTATTTTTAACAATGCCTTTTTTTGTCAATATATTCACTTTTATTAAAATTGAAGTAGAAGGCTAACTAATTAAAATAAAAAAAATGATTATGATTTTCAGAATCAGCATGAAAAACTAATTAAGAAAAATTGGTTAAACTATAAAAAATCTAAAAAAAGACGATTATTGACCCCCCTACTACAATATTCTCCATATTTTTAAAGGTTTTTAGTTATGACCCCCCATTTACAAAGATCCCCTTAAAATACGTACAACAAATTACTAGGCATAAAATAGATAAAATATAAAATTAACTAATAGTATATATTTATATCTTTTTAACTAACAAAAATTTATAATAAAAAGAAATCAGGTTATTTTATTTTATAAATCTTATAAATGCATCATAACGTAATTCTAAAATAAAAAAGTAATGAAGTTATGATATCATAATTACAAAGAAAAAAACCACCACACAGTTACCAAAAATCGATTTACCCATTTATAGTAACCTATTTTGAAATTGCAGTTAAAGATTTATCTTTAGAAAATGTAACTATAAAACCTGTTTCGAAGTTTCAATACTAAAAGTACCTAAGTAGTAAAAGTACCTAAGTACCTTACTCAAATCAGTAACAGCTCGACTGTCTAAATATTTTTATTATTAACCCTTCTATTTAAAAAAAGAAACAAATGATTTGAAGTGACTAAAAAGCACTTTAGCTCTTTCCAATTGCACTAAAAAATAAAATAAATCTTGCTTTGCTAAGTTGCCTAGTTCTTAAGAATCTGAAAACAAATAAGTAAAAAACCAAGAACAAACAAACATTTATTTACTAAAACTACTCTATTTAAAAAATTAAATTAAACAGAGAACAACATTGATACTCCTTGAAAGCTGAAAAACTTTTCATCTCAAATTTGCATGTAGACCTTGCTTATAAAACCACTTGAATAAGAAAAGCATCAAAAAAGCCTAGAAGCTACTTAAAAATGGTAAATGCAACAATGAACTTTAAATGTTGATTGGAGTAGATTTTTTTAAAAAATTCAAAATGATTTGTTCTTCTCTAGCAAATCAATACACCATAAATCTGAAGTTAAAAATGTAACAAAGAAAAACATTATATGTGAATTGAAAAGCAATGTACCTGATAGAGATAAGCTGTGGTGATACCTGAGTAGTAGTTGCTAAATATTATTTTTTTATGATAAACAAATTGTATTTATAGCGAAATGATGTCTTGAATAAATTTCAGTAAATAAATAAAAGCAGTGAGTTCTAATAATGAAACTACCTA